TGACATCGTTGGTGACAGTTATGACATCATAAGTAACATTTATGGTAACAAAAGTTATATACTGGCTGATCTTTCTATGTAGCCCCCAATTTCCAGATAAACATGAATATTTTCAGGTCAGTTTTCAGCTGATTTTAGTTACAGTTGATTATCAGCCACTAATTTCATGTAAAAATACCCAAATGTGCTTTCTAAATTTTTTTAGAACATGATCTAGTCCCAAAAGGTTTTGGATCTCTCCTATAGAGTGATCTGATAGATTGCAGTAATTATATATACACTGTACTCTTCTGACATATGGTGTAATCTGAGGACACATGGCTATGGAAATCTTCCTTAGCTGTAAATGTTGGGGTTCAAATTGCAGACTACAGGTTATCTCTGCCAGGGGATTAGGTATCACACATTACATAGAAGATCATACAAAATAGTGACATTTATCCATTTGAAACCCTGTATAATTAGATAAGAGCATGGGTTTCTGAGAATGATTATTCTTTTAATATTGAAATGAACAGGGACTTGTCAGACAGAGTTCACAGACTTTGTAATTGAACACACTATACTGGTACAGTGTATAATACTAGTATAATTTATATAAATATGGACGTATGGAGGAGACGAATGTCAGTCAGCTGATGGGAGAATTGCTTTGTTATGATCTGTGTGTGGTATTAAATGTTTAACAAGATAATTTATCAGCTCTTTTGCCTTTTACCGAAAAAATTAAGTGACTGTTGCTATTCATTGTGGGAGAAAAAGAGATGGAGGGGAGGAAATGGTATATGTGAATTGACAACCAGAAATTTGGCTTTTTTATTGATTGATTGCTATCTAGGATATCTAGGATTCGAGGACATGGATCACTTAAATTTTATGAATGTCATATAATATGTAAGAATAACATGCCTCAAAAATAGTTTGTTTCTTTACAGTTTTGTTTGGAGCGTGAGACCTGTGCTGTAGTGGTGTGTTCTACAACAGGAGAAGGTGAAGTGCCAGATACTGCCTCCAAGTTTGTGAGACGTCTGAAGAAGAAAACTTTGCCCAGTACTCACCTTCAACACCTGCGTTATTCATTGCTAGGTAAATTATGACCAATGCTGAAGACTGATGAATAAGGTTGTGTGTTTGTAAGGCAGTGAGAAATGCTAGGTTAATTTTGCTTCAAGATTGATAGTAGAGAAAAGTAATTGATGCAACAGATTTAATTTAAGGGAAATTGACATAGAAGTTTGGACAGTTGCATCCTGTAAAGTAGGGGGGGTCCTTAGATAACCTTTTTCCCCAAAACAGTGCCAAAACCACCTAAAAATATGCTTTTACATCTTAAAAACAAACTGCAAAAAACCAAATTAGTCTATCTCTATTATCAGAGCTGCTACTTGGGTTTTAGTATTTTGGAGAAAAATCGCCAAAAATACTTAAACTCTGTATTTTGTAAGATATGATGGTTTTTCATATCAATGATTATGCTTACATTTTAACACAAATTTCATTGTGACTAACAATTCTGACAGACTAAATGCATATGAAAACTAAACTGAATGTTCTTACACCTAGATAATGATTCATAATAAGCTCAAAAAGACAGGAATTCAATAAGAATTCAATTCAATTCACTAAGAATTCAATGCTTTTTGGAAGCTTAAGGCAGTTAGCGTTATGGTGGATCTTTCTTTCTTTTTTCCCAACAACTTTTCCAGGTTCATTCTAAACTGTTCTAGAGTTAACATCCTTCTCTTCCCTCCATTGATATTGAATATCCTGAAGACAGGACTACATTTTGGCAGTGATAGGGATGTGTCTCTAGCGTATGTGACTCTCCCCCCCCNGTTACGGACTGGGACAATTTGATGTCAGGGACTGGGACAATTTGATGCCAGGGACTGGGACAAACTGTTGCCAGGGACTGGGACAATTTGATACCAGTGACAAGGACAATGAAAACAACTTGAGTGTAATACACATATCCACAAACCTCATTTTAGTAAAATGCTTCATTTTGTTCCTTTGTTGCCCATGTTGTTTGCAAAGAGACAATGGTTTGCATGAATGATATTTATACCTATCTACCACGCGAGCAATTGCTTTGCCAAATTTTATGAATTAAAGGCAAGAACAGTGACGACTATCTTGTAATTTAGGCAAGGTCACTGAAATATTATCAGTGTGCTCAGGTACTAGCCTCTGTTACTGCCTAAGCCTTTGTACCATGGACTGGAAGACACTGGTCAGCTTGAGCCCCCAAATTGGTCCAGCAGGCTGAATATTTAGCACAGAGAGATACCAGTACACATGGCAATAGTATTAGTTCTTTAGAAAGAGATTTACTCAGTCTGAGATTTTGAGACTTCATCTGCTGTAGAACTAATCTGGTAATTGTTCTTGGGATAGATTACACACACTATCTGTTGTGATATGAAATCATTGTGCCTACAGAAATTCTATAATTGTTAGATTGACTTTTACAGAACAAGCCAATATATGCTGATTACACAGGATGTAAGAACAGTGGATGCTATATATGCTGTACACACCATACGGAGCTGTAAGTTCCATTGTATATGCACAATATTGTCAACACATGGTATCTATTCAAGAGAATCGATAGGATAAAATATTAATCTAGAAAGAGGGCGTCAGTCTCTGCATCTACATGGCTTTCTTCCTGCATGGAAGTGGTGATTGAGTACTGACAATTAGTGGACAGTGATCTGTGCTGGTAGATATCTAGATACCAGCACTTGCTGACATCATGAACAGTGAAGTATCTCTCCCTCATGGAAGACAACCATTATTATCATCGGGTGCTTAGTGATATTGCTTAGTTGTATCACTTATGGCATAAGGGACCACTTTTGTATTGCTTTTGGACCACTTATTAACTGCTTATTTACCTGATAGGATGCGCAAGGAACGGTAGACACTTTTATGACAGTTATGGCGAATAATCTCAAGAAATGTGAAATATTTTAAAGTTTTCATGGACATGGTACCACATTAAGAAGAACTGATTTTTGCTTAACAACGATGGGAATATGTACCTCTGCAAAAAACACTGGTGCCACCACAGAGCTTGGGTATGGCAGGTAAATTTAAATAAGAAGTATAAGCTGAAAGAAACCCTTAAACCATATTTTCTTAAAAAAAAAAAAAAAAAAAGAAGCATGACGCTGTCAGTGTCTAGGAATTCCATGTCATCAGTGTTAACTACAAGGGAAATTGCCGTTATGGTGTTCTTCATGATCTTTATGGTAATCTTGAACTAACAGTAAAATGGGTGTTGAGGCCTTATGAGTAAATGCTATGAATTGGAATGAATTAAAATCATAGGTACATTTTAGAAGTTCAACCAAATTAATTGTCTCAATGCAAATATCTGTATATTTGTTGCACTTACTGATTTTTGTGTTAATACAAATTAAGTTACACCATTACCTGTCAGATGATCAGATGAGTCTGTTTAAATGCTATTTCTTTGTTATTTTCTTGTGTCGGAACATTACCTGTCTAGATGATCAGATGAGTCTGTTTAAATGCTATTTCTTTGTTATTTTCTTGTGTCGGAACATTACCTGTCTAGATGATCAGATGAGTCTGTTTAAATGCTATTTCTTTGTTATTTTCTTGTGTCGGAACATTACCTGTCTAGATGATCAGATGAGTCTGTTTAAATGCTATTTCTTTGTTATTTTCTTGTGTCGGAACATTACCTGTCTAGATGATCAGATGAGTCTGTTTAAATGCTATTTCTTTGTTATTTTCTTGTGTCGGAACATTACCTGTCTAGATGATCAGATGAGTCTGTTTAAATGCTATTTCTTTGTTATTTTCTTGTGTCGGAACATTACCTGTCTAGATGATCAGATGAGTCTGTTTAAATGCTATTTCTTTGTTATTTTCTTGTGTCGGAACATTACCTGTCTAGATGATCAGATGAGTCTGTTTAAATGCTATTTCTTTGTTATTTTCTTGTGTCGGAACATTACCTGTCTAGATGATCAGATGAGTCTGTTTAAATGCTATTTCTTTGTTATTTTCTTGTGTCGGAACATTACCTGTCTAGATGATCAGATGAGTCTGTTTAAATGCTATTTCTTTGTTATTTTCTTGTGTTGGAACATTACCTGTCAGGTGATCAGATGAGTCTGTTTAAATCTCTTTGTTATTTTCTTCTTAAAGGTGACATGTTTAATGGTTGAATATCACAGGGTCCCAGTGGTTTTTGTGGTTACAAATATTTTTCCCTTAAAAAATTGTGGCTTCAACACATGGAGCACAGTCAGAACAGTAGACTCAAAGATCTGCGTATCAAATATGGTAACCCACTAAAAAGCTTGCTGCTTAATTCCCGACTATAGACACCAAATAGACTTATTGTGAGGATTATGTAACAAGCATTCAAGTGGGTCGGCCATATTTGATCTGCAGATCTATTAGTTTATTAATCTGAATATGCTCATAATTTATCATTATCAACTGACAACAAAATCTAGAACTGCTGTGTGTGTACGTGTGTGTGTATGGGTGTTGGGGAGGGGGGGTGTTGGGGCGAGCGAGCTGCAATTTTTATTTTCTGTAGATATCTTTAGCTTTTGGATGCATTTTTACCAGATCATGGAGTTAGCTAGGATTTGTCAATATTTATATAGAAGTTGTGCAGTGTGACAACCACTAGCTGAGGTTTTCAATACAATATACAGTGTATAAACTGAGAGTGAAAGTCGATGTCTTCCAAAAAGGCATCAGTTTCTTGCCAACCAATGTGTTGTTGTTGACAGATTGAAGATACGTTATCTTAACTCCAATTGGTCAAAAACAATATATTATGTCATCAGTCAATTTTATGTTTTGTGGTGATGTCAGCAGTCAATATTGGGTTTTATCAGACCTTGAATTCCTGGATATAACATAGCACTCAGTATTCTCTGCAATTTAAGTCAAGTTATCATTAAGTGTGATTTTAAAAAATATGTAATGTTTATATTTTTAGTCACTATTCACCAGATTGTAGTCCTGCAGCTAGTCGGTGCCTCACCCAGACATCTGGCCACATGGAGGCGCCACCGTCCAGGTTTCTGCTACTCTATGGCTCCCAGACAGGACAGGCCCAAGCCATATGTGAAGAGATTTATGAGAACTGCCAGAAATATGGACTGAAACCTGAACTGCATTGCCTCAGTATGACAGAGAAAAAGGTAAAGAGAAAGACAAGTAGCTGTGATGTGTTCTTGGAATGTTAGTGATGTCACATAGTGCACTTATGATGTCATGGGTTTCTTACATGATGTCACAATGTAGGCTGATGATGTCACAGGTCACTCACAATGTCACAATGTACAGTACATTTATGATATTACAGGTAACATGATGTCACAATGTCCACTTATGATGTAAGTACAATTATGACATCGTTGGTGACAGTTATGACATCATAAGTAACATTTATGGTAACAAAGTTATATACTAGCTGATCTTTCTATGTAGCCCCCAATTTCCAGATAAACATGAATATTTTCAGGTCAGTTTTCAGCTGATTTTAGTTACAGTTGATTATCAGCCACTAATTTCATGTAAAAATACCCAAATGTGCTTTCTAAATTTTTTTAGAACATGATCTAGTCCCAAAAGGTTTTGGATCTCTCCTATAGAGTGATCTGATAGATTGCAGTAATTATATATACACTGTACTCTTCTGACATATGGTGTAATCTAAGGACACGTGGCTATGGAAATCTTCCTTAGCTGTAAATGTTGGGGTTCAAATTGCAGACTACAGGTTATCTCTGCCAGGGGATTAGGTATCACACATTACATTGAAGATCATACAAAATAGTGACATTTATCCATTGGAAACCCTGTATAATTGGATAAGAGCATGGGTTTCTGAGAATGATTATTCTTTTAATATTGAAATGAACAGGGACTTGTCAGACAGAGTTCACAGACTTTGCAATTGAACACACAATGTTGGTACAGTGTATAATACTAGTATAATTTATATAAATATGGACGTATGGAGGAGACGAATGTCACTCAACTGATGGGAGAATTGCTTTGTTATGATCTGTGTGTGGTATTAAATGTTTAACAAGATAATTTATCAGCTCTTTTGCCTTTTACCGAAAAAATTAAGTGACTGTTGCTATTCATTGTGGGAGAAAAAGAGATGGAGGGGAGGAAATGGTATATGTGAATTGACAACCAGAAATTTGGCTTTTTTATTGATTGATTGCTATCTAGGATATCTAGGATTCGAGGACATGGATCACTTAAATTTTATGAATGTCATATAATATGTAAGAATAACATGCCTCAAAAATAGTTTGTTTCTTTTCAGTTTTGTTTGGAGCGTGAGACCTGTGCTGTAGTGGTGTGTTCTACAACAGGAGAAGGTGAAGTGCCGGATACTGCCTCCAAGTTTGTGAGACGTCTGAAGAAGAAAACTTTGCCCAGTACCCACCTTCAACACCTGCGTTATTCATTGCTAGGTAAATTATGACCAATGCTGAAGACTGATGAATAAGAGTGTGTGTTTGTAAGGCAGTGAGAAATGCTAGGTTAATTTTGCTTCAAGATTGATAGTGGAGAAAAGTAATTGATGCAACAGATTTAATTTAAGGGAAATTGACATAGAAGTTTGGACAGTTGCATCCTGTAAAGGTTGATTCACTCTTTGTGTTTTGTAATGTGTACTAGTAATTTTTTTTTTTTTTTTTTTTTTTGCTATACATTTATTTCCTTTACTTGCAAGTTATCAAAAACTATTACAACATATGGAAACAATTAATTTATCATATGATTTTAATTACTTGTTTTACTTCTCAGGGCTAGGAGATTCTAACTATACTAACTTTTGTAATGGTGGAAAGACGGTAAACAAACGTTTTGAAGAATTGGGGGCCAGAAAGTTTTATCCCTGTGGCTGGGCTGATGACGCAGTGGGGTGAGTTGTGTTCTTGACTTGATAGTTAATGGTAAGATGGCCACAGTTTAGTGTCAAAACCTTAACACAGGATGGCCTTGTGGTTAGAGCGTCCACCTCCAGAGCAAGAGGACGTGGGTTTGACCCCGTCCAGGGACATACCAGTCATTTATAAACAGTACCTGCTGTTTCCCTGCGTGGTACTCCGCATATAGGGGTTGAAGCAGGGCCCTTGGTCAGGAAGAGATTGATTTTGTGAGCCTGCTAAATTTCAGCGCCTCATACGGCAGCAAGGCTGTATCCTCCCCAGTGAGACAAGATCGTCAACACAGTTCATAATGACCAGGTGTCAATCTGATCTGTATGTACTACACATAATTGTACTTATTGTCTACTGAACAGATTTAGAATGTAGACTTAACATTAATATATTATTATTATTACTATATGGTATTCAGGCAAGAGGTTGTCAACAATTTACTCAGCAACTACAAATTAAAAACCGATTTTGAAATCAAAATGTTAAGCATTTTAAAGGATTGGAAATGAGCAGTTTATTAATTTTATGATTATTAAAATTGCAAGGGGTAAAATAAGGAATCACACGTCAAAATAGAGTATTTCCTGCCAGAAAGCCCTTCCTATACCATACACCAGATATTTCTAAATGGAGTATTTCCTGCCTGAAAGCCCTTCCTATACCATACACCAGATATTTCTAAATGGAGTATTTCCTGCCAGAAAGCCCTTCCTATACCATACACCAGATATTTCTAAATGGAGTATTTCCTGCCAGAAAGCCCTTCCTATACCATACACCAGATATTTCTAAATGGAGTATTTCCTGCCAGAAAGCCCTTCCTATACCATACACCAGATATTTCTAAAT